CACAAGTGGCACCCCTTGATCCTTCCGACTCTGGCAGTTATCACTCCACAGTTAAAAGAGCCCAAGTGGAGAATCTACAGTTTGCTAAGATTATATATTCCACTAATATTTTCAGGAGTCGGTGTACTATCCACAGGATGAGCTTGAGACCTCACTGAGTATGAGGTGAGCTATGGTGAGAATTGCATCTACCTTTTGCTCCCAATAAAATTCCACCCTAGCAGATAGGAGTGGCCACTATCAAGCTATAGTTTCTATCAGAACCATTTTCTGGCAAACTCTCTAAAAGGTTTGGCTATCTCCTGTTCTCCAGGCACAGCCACTAAGGGGCTGACTGCAAGAAGGAACAGAAGGAGGCTCACTGCATCTATATTTGATAATATTGTAACATTTTCTTATTATTTTATTTTTTAAAAAAGATTCATTTATTTATGTATATAAGACCTGGGATACAAGCCAGAGGTGCAGGGGGTGAGAAGATCACCAGAGACAGAGTGGGGAGCAAAACAGGCAAATAGATTGAAATACACTGCTGAGGGGAGCAGTGAGTGAGACAGGAGAGGTCTGTTGCTCCGTGTGCATCACCTCCCTGGCCAGGGGTTGAACTTATACTGCAGTGGCTGCAGATAGCTTCATAGTGCTGTGCTTAACCCCTTGTACCACCAGAGAGACCACTGTAACATATTTTCTATAGAACCCAGTTTCTCCTCCAACCTGGGAGCTCTGAGTGCCAACACCATGACTGTCTAGCTTGGTGACGTGATTCTGGTCTGTTAGCTAAACTCAGACCTGGGGAGGGTGGGATGTGAGATCCTAGTGGGATTCCACTACACACAATCCTAAACTCACGATTAACCATAGCCAGAGTTATCGGCGAGTAAAACTTCCCCTGAGATTTGTTCATCTCATTTGGAATACTCCCTAATATAACCATGCTGACTTGTTCCTACTGTGAATTACTACCATCGAAGGTACCCCCAATCCCTGGGACTCCTCCAGCCCCACTGGGATCAGCAGACCACTTCTGTCCACCAGTTTGAACAATTAGTTAATTGCCTTTGAAATATTCTGGACACTGTTGGAGATATATTTGACAGAACAAGCTCAGCATTTCTCTCTTAAGTCCTTCTTTTATGTTATGCCAAAGGATTTCTGAATTTTTGTCATTATTTAACATGAACCAGCATTTAGTCCAGGATTTTACCTGGCAGTCCAAATTTGCATTAGGGTTATATGAGAGACATATTCTGTAACAGTACTTTCTATGTAGAATATCTGCTGTTGAAATTCATATTGGTCTTTTTGGCCTGATGCAAATTGGTGTTTTGCTCTCCTTAGTCAGATAACCTCAAAGTATACTTATTACCCCATTTTATAGAATTTGCTGGTTCCTATTAATTCCTTTGAGAATAACTACTGAACTCTTTTCACTCTGATTCTGCAGTATAATCTTGGAGATCATGTTTAGTTATCAGCAAAAAAAGGTTAACATCTCTGAAGAGGCAGTGTGATAACCATCAATTTAAGGAAACTGTTATCTCAGTCTAATTGAATCCAGCTATAAGCAAACAAAGATAAACTTCGTTTTCATTAAAAAAAAAAAAAAAGCTAGATTGGGCTCTCCCTGGCAGCACAACGGTTTAAAGCACCACATTATGAAGCTCTATGAGGCCACTGCAGCACGAGTTCAATCCCCAGCCAGGGAGCTGACCCACATGGCACGGCAGACCTCTCCTGACCCACCCGCTGCTCCCCTCAGCAGTGAGCTTCATCGGTCTGCCTGTTCTGCTCCTCACTCTGTCTCTGGTGAATCCTCTCAGCCTCCACACCTCTGACCTATACCCCAGCTCTGTATGCATAAATAAATAAATCTTTAAAAAAAAAAAAAACTGTCAGGCTGAGTATGATCAAGAGGGGGATTTCCTGAAAGGAGCAGTGTTAAAAATCAGAAAAATGGACCCAAAATGGAGTGGCATATGCTGGGCCCTCACCAAGATTTAACACCTCATGTAACTGTAGTTTTGTCCTTTCCCTAAAGGATCTTAAACTAGTCAACCTGGAGTTGCCTGATCTGCACCAGTGAGTTATCTGCTCAAGGCCTCCTGCCCCTCTGGTAAAAGCCTCTTTACCTGAAATAATCTTTTGCCAATACTTTGTCTTGCCCTCTTCCATCTATAAAACCCTCCACTTTGTATAAGCCTTTAGAATACCTTTCTATTTGTCAGAGGGGATGCTCTCAAGGTGAGCTTACAGATTCATGGATTGTTTAATGAGGCCAATGTGATCTGTAAAAAGAAAATATTATTTATATGTCATATGTGAAGGCAAAAATAGAGATAGTTGAAATCAAAAGAGCTAAGATTTGTGGAACAGTGATAAAGAGATTGAACCCAGGAAATTTACTGCTAACCTTGTGATCTTTCTAATGAGAACGGAACAGCTCATTTACACTGTACAGTTCAGTACATTTGACTTTTTCTGTTTTAAGAACATTCATGCTTGGCCCTAATTTACCTGTACTTACATTATAATCTCTATGAAGTCAGTAGGCCTGAAGCAGAGATATTATGGGATACTTAGTAATTTTCTTGAAAAACGAACAGTGCTTCAGCCTTTAGTTCACACACAGGTTTTTACCACCTAGTATTATTTTGTAATTCTTACATACTTTACAAATGCTTTCCCAGTAATCTTTAAAATATTACCAGGACATGAAGAACATAATCTTCAAAACAGTGTTGAAAGAAATGAAGGAACTTTTTCAGTACAAGGTAGAAGGGAAGTTTAAAAATTTAAGTTCCTAGTGCCACATCTGTTACATGTAGCATTACTCTTTCAAGCTTCACATTGATGCAAGTGGTATCTTTCATGTATGTATCCATTTATCCATTGCAACACACTTGAATTGTTTCTGTATCTTGGTATTGTGACTAGTGTTGCCATGATTGTAAGGGTGCATGTATCTTTTTCAAGGAGTGTTTTCATTTCTTTGAGTAAATACCAAGAAGTGAGATTACTGGATTATATGGTAGTTCTATTTTTAATTTTTTGAGGAATGTCCATACTCTTTTCATAGTGGTTGTACCAAGGTATATTCCCACTAACAGTGCAGAAGGATTACCTTTTCTCTACATCCTCACTAGCACTTATAATTCTTGTAATTTCTTGACCTTTGGTAATAGTCATTCTAACTTCTGTGAAGTGAAAATCTCAGTAGTTTTGATTTGCGCTTTCCTAATAATAAGCAATGTAGAATATAAGCCATTGACCCCTTTATGTAAATCTTTAATTAGAACCCTAACACCAAAAATATAGCTCTGTGAATATTCATGTGAAATTTATAAATTTGGGGAAATAGCCCCTTTGCAGTTAGCAGTCACATTAAAATCCAGTGATAAAGGACAAAAAGCCACTTTTTCCTGTATGAAACACTCTCAAACTTAAAATCCCTCCAGTTAGTATGTATAATCCCATCTATGTTAAAAAAGAAACCATAACAGAAGGAAATTTCTCAATTTATTGGTGATGGGATAGTATTTCTTGAACTTCCCTATTTCCTATGTTGTTTTTCTTGTATTTATAATAGTAGAAAGGAGAAATAAAGTAAAACCTATTAATGTCAAAAAGCAATCTGGAAATTCTAAAAAACAAGAATGCAATTGTACTTAATACAGCATCATTTATGGTCACCACTTATATCACCCATCTGCTTCCATTTATTCTTCTGCAAATTCAAGTGGTTCAGATAAGCAGGGTCTTTAGGGACAGCATGCCGTCACCCAACCCCTTAGGCGGAATTATGAGGTGGTAATTAGATTGCGCAGGTAAATGTCAGAACAAAATCTAGGAACACTGGGTTAGGACGCCCTCTCCTGGGGAAATAAGAAAATTGCAACTTCACCAAAAGACCACTTGCATCAAAGGCACTAGAAAAGTACATGCTTTAAAGAGCAGCCTGTGATTTTTAGTTTAGGATGTCAAAGAACAATTTCTCTCCTTGGCCTTGAAAAAAATATATTGGCTTAAGTCTCAGGAGATCTATTCATTTCTACTTTTCTGAAGAATGTAAGAATGTAAATTTAAAAGTGGTAATGCATTGATAGGTTGTTAGAGGCACAAAAATAATGCTTAAAACTAAAAGGTCATTTTGGAAGTTGAGGTGTAAATACTTTAAATGTTTAGTTTTGTAAATATTGTGTATGTGTTTAAAATGTGAGTCCCAGATTTCTCATCTCTAGAACAGTAATTTTAAGAACCTTTTGAAAATGACATGAAAATACTGATTTAGCATAGTGCTCAACAGACCGAGTGTTCAGTAAGTTAACAGCCATTACTTTAGCTTTTACTTACATTTCATTATCTATGCAGTAATCATTTAGCTGTGGGACAACCTCTCCAGTGATTACAAAAAAGAACTCTAAGGAATCTGAGAAAGTGCATCTACGAAACACATACATGAGTGTATATTATTTTAAAGGATAAAAAAAGTTAATTTCATTTTGAGATTTGTGCACTGAATTTTTTTTTATCAAAGTGTTAATGTTTTATATAATGGTGAAGTATTTCTGTAATTGAAAACCCTGAGTTGTCCCTAATTAATTCAGATGTCTACTCCACAGACATTTGTATAAACTACTATTCTTCCTGATACTTAACAAAATTAGATTCCTTTATTTTCATCTGTCACTAATCTTTCATAGTTACCTTTAGGAGTTCACAAATGCTTACTTGTTTGAGGTTTTTTTTTTTTTTAAATTCTATTTTAAACTTTCTTAAAAGAGGAAATCCAACCCCCCAAATAAAAATCCTTAATTTACTCTACACAATGGATACATGAATCAAATCACCATGATTTACATTTAAATATAACTTTGTCAACTATTCCTCAATGAAATTAAAAAAGACTGAAATAACATATGCACAGAAGCCTTACTCTGGGCCAATACTGAGCAACACTGAACAATGAAGGGGCATCTTTTATTCATCACACTGAGCACAAATACAGAATTATTAGTTTATTTTTCCTCTAACGAGAATACACTCTTTTATGGAGAAATAAAAGATCAGTTGTCAGGAGACGCTTTTGGAGAATGATCAATAAGCGCTTTATCAATGGTTGGATACTGAAACCAGGGACCATCACCTCTCGAGCGCATCAGTCTCCGTACTTCGAGCTCCTTTAACCTGTAACGAAAGGAACAGCAGCCATATGATTCTAGCACCTCCACTTGTAAATTTAAGGAAGCAGTGCTATCAAGAATAACCAGAGTCTATTGCTTTTAAGTAAAGTTTAATGTCTACCCACAGATATGTGTGTGGGTAAACAAAATCTGAAACTTAACTTCATTAGTTAGCCATCAAATGTGATATTTTAAAATTACTTTATGATCAGTTTTCTTCTTTCCCTGTTTTTTCTTTTCTTTTGGGGAGGGGGGGTGTTTCCTGGACAGATTACTCCTACTAGAGCAAAAGGGAAGTATTTCCTTGTTCTTTTTGCCTTTTAGATGCTAGGAGAATCATCAACAGAATGACTACTACTAAGGCTTCATATACTCTGTCAAGTGCTAAGAATTAAAAATCAACAAGCCTTCTTGGAGGAGCTTGCATCCTGTCTATAGAGGCCATCCATCCCCAACAGGACAGAACGAAACATGCTATGTACTAGCCTAGTCAGCATTAGATAAACAATCGATATTTATAAAGAGAAAAAGAAAGACTAGGATTAAGATCAAAGACTAGGATTCTCCATCTCTTTCCTCCTTTAAGGAACAAGATTGCTATTCCATGTTCTAAATTACTTAATGAGAGTTCCATAGCATAACTTTATATTTAGAAAACAAGCAAATTATACATTTGTTTAATAATTTAATTATTTCCCAATATTTTCAGTATCTATGATGTGGCTATTAAAAAGAAAGGTATTAGGCCCTCCCTGGTGGCGCAGCGGGTTAAAGCACAGCACTGAGAATCTAAAGCCGCTTCTGCATGAGTTCCATTCCCGCCTGCCCCGGAGGTGACCACATGGCG